GCAAATTTCACGACGTCGTCCTCGAAAGAAATCTACAGTAGCCTCGGCAGCCTTTTCCCGCTGAAAGGTGGTCGATCAATTTGGGGTAAAGCGTCGAAATGCGAAAATGTACATGTCACTCGTGCGAACTCGCATGAGATTTAAATGCATCGTCGGTCAAGAACTGAAATGATCTCGCGCTGACGCTGCTACAACCGAAATAATGACTTCTCGCGTCCGCGGCGTCGCATCACCAAACACGTTCCACGAACAATCATATTTTAGTCTCCTGAAAAGAAACAAGATCTCGGCGGGGTTTGTGTAAGGGGATGCGGCAAAAATCCGTCTTTATCAAAGGAGGAAACCAAAAACCAGAAGGCAACAACGGCAAGACATACAAAGTGGTGATTGCCGGTTAAGGGAGACACAGAGCGAACAGTGTACGAGTAACGTGTGTGTACGTGCGCGTGTGTGTCTGTGTGTCTGTATATATATACGCGCGTGTGTACGTGTATATGTGTTAATGGTTAACGTCGGTTAATGGATCGCGGTAATTAGCGCACTGCACAGCTTAGAAGCGAATAGAACTCTCGTCTCGTAAAACGCAACACGAGCCGTGCTAAAAAGCTCAAGGATGGAGCGAGGGAGGGGAGGAAAAAGCTCATTCACTACCTCCCACACGCGATGTTAGTCTCTACGCGTCACTAGTCTAAAAGTGCTACCTCCACACAAAAAGCTCCTCCGCAGTGTGAGTGCCTCGCATTTAGTTCTATTTCACTTACTCGCTGTCTCGCTCGCGCAACTCTCGCTCTTTCTCTTTCTCACCTTCCAACTTGCATTCTCTCTCTCTTTCTCTCTCCGTCTCACTCGGCAATTCTCAACAGAGCTCTCAACTACGTTAATTAGCGGCATTTTGCATTTGCTTGTACTTTGGAGGATATTTACCGTTTTCGGCGGCGCGCGTCGCTTCCCGTGGTTATTTATTATAAAATTACAAAGTAAAGAGGCGGTTGTGTGTATGAGACAAGCGAAAAAATAAACAAGATCGCCGAAAAAGAAACCATCTCAAATTGCAGACGCGCGACGGAAAGGACTCTATTTTATTTTCGGCCAGATTCTCGGCTAAAACAATTACATCGTCCGGATACTCGCGCCCTCCGCAAACAAGACGCCGTTCTCGCCGTTCAGTTTCCAAGTTCGAGAGATCGACTACCGACCGGAGACAATTTGAAGGTGGCTTCTCCGCTGGCTCTCGGGACTCTCGTCCGTCCGTATTCGTTTTCATTTTTCTCCTTAGACACTCACATATATTTTTACGTCATTCCGTTATATTTACAATGTTGCGTAGCTGTGCTTCGCACAGGAAAGAACGAGAACTATTTGATTTATCCTCCTCATAAATACGAACATAGTAGGCACCTAGGCTAGTACATATCCTTAGACGTATGTAAATGTTTATCTCTATCTATCTCTCTCTATGTATATATATTCTTTATATATATATACGTTTTTTGTACATATATATGTGTTCGTGTATATTGTATATAAGTGTTTCGTGTGTATGTGTGTGTGTGTGTACGTATGAACGTATACCCTTCGGAAGTTACGAGCGGAGTCGACGGTGGCACCGTAATAAAAACGAAACAAAGAAAAAAAGAGCGAAAAAAGGAAGAAAAATAGAGAGGAACGATGGGACCGCCGCGCACAACCATCAAACGTCTCGTAAAACCGTCGGAGCGGATCGAACGTTGAAATTCGATTTCGCATTCCGATTTATTTTCAGTCCGTACGCCGTGACGACGTGGCTAAAACGATCCCGGGTCGGCGCGATGACTCCTTAATACCGACGCGGTTGATTTATCCGTCCTCTGTTAGCCTTCGCTGAACTTCACACTCTCACACACACACACACACACACACACCGTGGCGTGCGACAGCACGAAATGATAAAACAACGGCGGAATAGTCGCGAGAGCCGCTGCTTTTTAATTTAGAGCGCCTCGCGATCTCCGCTGTTCTCGTTGCGAGACGGACAACGACGGGGCGATTCGCTGGAAATTAAAGGCGCGACGATGCGGGAGATCGCTCGGGGACAATTTTCAACGTCTTCCTCGACGACACAGCGGGGTAGTTGTTAAAACAGCGCCGCGGTCTCGCCGGGAAATCGCACAGGAAGCGCGCGTACTCATCGGAAATAGATCGCGAGTATCGCGATCTTTAAGTTCGCCTCCCTCTTCCTTCTCCTCCTCCCCCTGCTCCCCCGGCGTTCATCCTCTCGACGCGTGTTCCTCTCCGACGCGGCTATTTATAAGCCACGTAGGCGCCGTGGTAGTTTCGAAACGAGAGGTTCCACGAACGGACTCGCATTCGCGAGGCGAAACCTATTCGTTCCTCGGCTTCTGTTTCCTCGTTTCTATCTCCGCGCGGAAGTCACGCGGGTACTCGTGGATGGACTCGGTGCATCAGCCAGCGCAAACACGGAGCTTCTCTCTCTCTCTCTCTCTCTCTCTCGATCCATTTGTACGCGCTCGGGGAGATTATCTCCGTAACGAGAAACACTCCAGCTGCTGCTGCTGCTGTTGCTGAGAAATTTCTTGCTCGAACTGGGCGCGTCGAGATTGTGCGCGAAGAGATACTCGACGTGTATTATTTCGGCATTTCTCGAGGGACGCTTCGGGAAACGCGGGAATTGTTGACGTACCCCGTTGAAAATGATAGGCGCAACGTGAAGCGGCAGAAGAAGATGGGGAAAAATGCGTTTCAGCAAATTGGAATACTAACTAAGCGCATCGAAATCGACCGAGGTGGAGAATTTGGAAGTGCCAATAACCGATGGATTCGAACCGCGTTTCTCTGTTGCAGCGCGATGTTATATCAATAGATGACATATCGAATTCCCGACAACTACGATCAATAATAAGCAAGAATCGATTTCGGCTTAATCAGCCCTGCGATTGAAACGTGACCTTATTTTAAATAAAGCAATTCGACCGCCGTGGAATAATAGATGAGACGCCGTACTATAAATTTTAATAACGATTAAACCTTTAATTACCGTGGGTCTTTCGAAATTTATCATTACGCCTGCAAGTTAATTCAACGTCTTCTTATAAAATTCACGAATCGTCCGTAAGAATAGTAGAATGATCCCGATTGCTCTCTTCTTTCTTCTTCGAGTTGAAACACGAAAAGAGTTTAGCGTCAGATCCACCTTCTACCGGTATCCATTATGTTAACCCTTTGAGTACTGAATTATTTGAAGATTTTTATGCCCATGGGACGGATTTAATTTGTCGCTATATGGATTAATATGTAAAAGTAATACATTTTATGCTCAAGTAAGCAGATGACGAGTCTCACTCGTCAAATGTACCCAAAGGGTTAATTACTACTTGCACTGAGAGAAAAAAGAAATTTGGCAATTGTAACTGTAATCGAATTGTAATTGATTCGTGATTAATTCGTAAACGAATTATAGTCAAAAGAACTTCCTAGTTAGTGCTATAACATCAGTGATAACAACTTTACGTACTCGTTGCTATTCGCTATTTTCGCGGATTAAAATCACAAGAAGGATATAAAAGGCCGAATAAAACAACCGGAATTTCTCTCAGTGCGGTTTACCTCGCTCCGTTCCGCGGTGTCATACGACATTCCGCGAATGCTGCTAATGTCGAGGCGCTCGAAGACGGCGGAACGGCGGGAAAACGATATCGTAATCTGATATGGCACTCGGGGATTGGATAAAACCGACGGCGCTGAATCAATTTGCAGACCTAATGCATCCCCCATTTGCACGCGCGCACAGTCCGAATTGCCTCGGCCCGACGACACACGTTATTCCTTCTCCCGAGACGAATCCCGGATAATCGTATAACCGCTCGACAAAGCGACTCGATCGGAATAATCCCGCATTCCCCGCTAATTGATTTCCCCTCGGCTCCGCGTCTCGTCCTCGAGATGATGGCGCGCGCTTGGCGATCCTCCGACGTTCGGTCGTCGAAAGCGAGCAAACAATGAGTCCGTCGGTGAATCGAGGATTCGCACGCTCGCAGTTGTTTATCCGGCGGGCAGTTTGCGCGCGGGGATCGATCTTCTCAAACGGGCGAAACAAAGCCGCCTTGATTTCCCCGCAGAGACAATCCCGCGCGCGCAAGAATCGAGGATCGATTGATCCTGCGCGAGGAGGGCTCGCCCTCTCTGGTTTGAGGCTCTCCGCAAACACGCTCCTCCCTCGCCTCCTCACCGCCTCTCCTCCGCGGGAGAGGGAAACGAGCTGTGCACGCTCGCGTAATTAGTTCGCGCGAAACGCGCCACCCTCGAACAGTCCTGCATAAAGAGACGTCCTGAGAGACTCTCGCGTCTAACCGTTTAATGCAGCCGTCCGCTCTTGAATTATTGTACATCCTTGCGGCGGGGAAGACGATGACGACGCGCGGGGACACCTCCTCGCGAATCTCTGCCCCACGATTCGGCTAATCTTGACCGAGCTGTGAATAATACCGCAAACCGAACGGGGAGTTTGCTGGGCGAGCACACACGCGGTTGATGAAGAGGAACGTCAATCGCCACGGACGCGAGATAGAAACCGGCCGAGTCGATGCATGCGTGCGATAAAAAAGGGAAAGAGAGGGGGGGGGGACGATTCTTCCCTCCTGCCCAATTTCGCGCTTCGCTTCGGGGATTGACGGAAGTCTATTTAGACCCGTGCGCGGCGGAATTGCGCCGAGTCTGGCCGGCAAAGTGAAATAACGGAAGACGCAGTCTCTCTTGGCTGTGACGCGACGGCCGTACCCGAATCGATACTCCCAACCGGACTCTCTGTTCATCGCAATCCCGGCGCGGATCCTTTTATCGGCACAAAGTGCGAAAATTGGAGGGATTTCGTTCGGCCAGTTACAGTCGTTCCCGACGCGTCGGGTTGCAGTCGAGACTGGCGATTTCCGGCGGAAAAGAGGAAAACTCGCCGAGGAAGATTCACGAGGATAGGAAACCATTTTGGTGGCCGGCGTTTCGCTTTGTCTTCCTCTCTTTGTCTCTCTCTCTCTCTCTCTCTCTGTTTCTCAAACGTTTTCCTTCTGTCTTTGCGGCTGCTGGCACGCCGACATTGTCTTATCGGTTTAAAGCCCGCCGCTCGTCCCCGCGGTCTCGTCTTCCGACGTGCGCCGACTTTAAGCGTCTCCTAAGAACGCCTTTATCTGCACGCTCGCGAACGCGCCGGCTACGCTCGGTCCGCGGCGGTTCCCGAAGTTACGCCGTGGAGTTTATTGTCGCCGGAAGTAAGAGCGCGTTTGAGCGCGTAAAAATCGCCGTTCTCCGATCTTTTACGACGGCGGTGGCCCGACGGTGAAGCTCCAGAGCTCGTCGCCCGTCACGGGCTATCCGCGATATCTCACGATGACGTCTGGTTAGAGCCTTCTCGGACGATCACCGTGTAATCGCGACTTTCGTGTTAGGTTATTGTTATCGACACCTCGGCGCACCGATACCTCTCGATATCGGACCGACCGATATCCTATTACTCAAAAGTGAAAGCGCGGAACGGAAGGAAGAACGGCTTCGGAACGAATCGACCAATCGACGAGTAAATTGGGCGAATTAAAATGCAAAATGGCATAAAATGGTATTTGCTTGCCGGGTGCAATTTTAATGAAAAGGTTCCGCGTCGATTAAACGCGATCTATCCGGCGCTCTTCTCTCCTCTCATCGGCATACAGGATGCTATTTGGTTGCTCCGAATTCCGAGATATTGGAATGCAGTATTCCGATGGCAGAGCGTTGCGAGTCCGATGAAATTTCGGCGCTCGCGAGATTTGCGAGAGGCGACGCGCCGATTCCGACAGAAGTTTCGTCGTCCGATTTCGACGTCGAAAAGCGCTTTCTCGATTAGCGCGGATCGGATTCATTCGCGCGCTGTATGTTTCGGCTGTGCACAGCGAAGCCAATCTCACTTCTACCGTGTCAAACTGCAATTACGGATTCTTCGGGCGAATGTGAAATCAATTTTTTATTACCAGAAATTTGGTTACAGCGACTTTTCAATTCCCGACATTAAACATCGGGCCCGCGGAATGAAATTTCCGCCCGAAACCGGAATTCGCTTGGAAATAATTGAGAAAATAAAATTCGCCCGTCGACGCGAGTTACACCGCGAAATGACGGATTTCTCCCCCCCCTCCTCCAACATGGGCTTCCCCCGATTTCGTAAACAAGCGTTTCTAATTCGCGGCGATTTTGTCGACGTCACGGGCCGGCATAATTAACGCGCTCCCGTCGGGGGATTCGTAATTGCTGCTAAAAATTCCGTCGGTAGACGCAATCTGGCACGGTAAACGCGAGACGCTGCGAACGTAGTACGTCGAAAATTTCGCGGAGAGGTCGCGAGTTCTCCGCGTTCTCGCCACCGGAACGGACGACGTCGTTCACGGACGTGGAATGGGAACATCGCCGGCGAAACGTCGGCGTTGCTCGTCGATTGAGAAGGAAAAAAAAATAGAAAAAAAAAAACAAAGGAGTAGTAATGATAACAAAGCGCATGCCATGCGTTGTGGACTAATATCTAAGGAACCCAGGCATTGCGAGAACGGACGTAAAAAGGACGTAAAAAAGATCTGGGTCGAAGACCTCGTCACATCGATCGATCGCCGGTGGTGTTTCCTCCGCGCGCGCGAGCCTCGGCCGAGGCGATCAATGCGCGTGTTTGCGAGCGTGTGCACGTGCACAGGCACTTGAGGTAAAAGACCGCCCGTTCCGGACACGACCAGGCCTTCGAGATCCGCGAACCGCGCTCCTTTTGTAGTCTCTTATCCGGGAATCGAAAGCGTATTATTTCGAGCGCGGGCTCAATTTTCGACGCGAAAAATACGGGAAACGTGTGTAATTTACACTCACAGCCGTTTCGCGCCTTTCCATTGTCCATTGGTACGGATGGCTGTGTGTGACGAAGATATTCGGAACGTTAGGCGATCGTGGAAAATTCAGCGAGCTCTTCCGGTGACGAAATTAATAACGGATATCGCCCCCCCCCCTCTCCCTCTCTCTCTCTCTCTCTCTCGGCGATTTAGCGATGATAATTATCGCGAATTTAAGGCATTTTTTTCGCGATTTCATTATTGGCAAAATCCCTACATTCTCCGATACGCGTATCAGTACTTCGTATTCGCGATATTTAATATAACGAATCGCCTAAGGATTTTCCAATTATCCCCGGTGTTCTAGATTACCGTCACGATTATTTTCCGGCGTCGAAAATTGAGCCCGTCGGGAAAACTGGACAGTCGCTCTCGATTTCCGCGCTCGTCGCTCGAGATTAGCGTGATTAATCATGACAGTGGTCACTAGTGACAATTACGGCGACGGCGGTGGTGGTTGGCGGCTACGGTCGGCAGCGGCGGTTGTACATGGTTATATGTATAAGAACTACAGCGATAACGAATTTATAATTTATACGGTAAAACTGTAATCGGTAGAATCGCAATGATCGCAACACACATATCATGCGCACACTAAACACGTATTTCCAGAACTAGTCAAGCGAAACTAATGTGCGACTGAATAAATTCCCACAAAAACAAAAGTAAGAATTTAAAACAAGAAGAAAAAAACGAGAAAAGGATAATCAAAACAGATCAATGGCAAGAGGGGAGAGAGAAATTATATGCAATCGCAATCGAAATCAACTCAGCTAAGAAAGTAAACTAAAATGCCTGGTTCTGTCGGTTGTTCGAGCTCGTCGTATTCTCTCGTCCGTGCGAATTCTCTCTCTTTCTCTCTCGGAATTTGTCTCGTGACGTAATCCCGGAACCCGACTAAAGGGATAAGTATTGTATAATCCTGTCCCAAGAGGGATAAACGTTTACAATGAGATTGCTACTCCACATAAATAATTCGGTGGAACTTTATAAAAGAGGGCAATGTTACCAATTGTTATCTATTTTCCGAATGAAACCACCTCTATCAGATCATGCAGTAACGTAGAAAAGAAAAACGATATTCAACTCCAGATCTTGAAGTATAAGATATTTCATTTTTCTACCGCATAATAAAAAAAAAAAAATAATAATAAAAATATAAAGTACACATGTTACATAAGATATAACAATTTACGCCGCGTCGTATTCTAGCGTGTGAAAATACGAGGAAAGAATCTCAGGAATAGAGTGATTTCGTCACCGTATTATCCCGGCGTCTCGTCATAGTTGCGTCTGTGTTCGCGTCGCGGTGGATAGAGCCGAGTTCTGGGACCGAGGATACCGCGTGCGTGACGCGACTTCGCGAGGAGTTTGCAGGAGCTCGTGTGAAATTCCCCCCTCGGAGAGAGAACATCGCACGGACGCGAGTCGGGCGTATCAGTGTCGACTTCGTGTACGAAGAAGGTAAACGTCCTACGTTGCCTCTTCGGGGCCTCGATAAAAACGGATTTTTCCATCGCAACATGGTTTGTCAATAGGAACCGTCAAATTGTTATTAATAATCGTGTATGCTTGTAACAACGTTTATTTCTTTCTCTGATAACGACAAATGGAGATTCACGAGTTATATACTAACCGGCGTCCAGCCGGTCGCTCTAATATCATTCTTCTCTCTCCCTTTTTATTACTCCGTACGATCGTCTCTTAAGACGCGTTTATCGACACTTTCTCTCGAGTAAAAATTAGAAAATCGTAAAAATCGTGAAAAAAGAGCACCGTTCTAAAAAGTACTTTTGACGCGTGGTCAATCGGCGAAACTCAATAAAACAATTCTAGTGCTCCGATCGTAAGTATATATACTCAACGAAGTACGATTATCACCGTTCGCATTTGCGCGCGATTCAGGACTCCGTGACATCTAAACACGCGGCGTTCGTCTTTTCTCTCTCTCTTTTCTCTGTCTTTTTTTCTCCTCTAATACCGTCCGTCTCTCTCTTTCTCCCTCTCTTTTTCTCTCTACATCGTCGCTGAACCTTGCGCGCGAATAGTTGGCAATTTAGGGCAGTAGCACTCTTATGGTCTGTACGTTATGGTCTCACACGCTCGTTAATATTTATACGCTCGGTGTACCGAGCGGATACAGCGGCGTTACGCGCGCAGTACGCATCGGCAACGAAAACTAGACGTCTATTCGATCGACGGATCGTTGATTTTCGCTCGAATCAACGTACATACGGGGGAAGCACACATTTCGTTTAGTCACCGCTATCGTGTGTCTTTCTAATACAAAAAACTCGTTACCGCAAGAATTTATCGACGCATCGTCGTGACTCGTTTATACTTAACTTCGCATGGAAAAACCGGACAGTCCGACTTGAATATTGAGACAGTCGTTAGTTAATTGTGTAACGCGATCCACCGAGACACGCGAGACTATCGGTGCGTACGTATATTTTATCGTATTGGCCACGTTAATTACTTTCTTTTCTCTTTCTTTTTTTTTTTGTTCTTTTTCCTGCAGCACGGTAGTGCGAGCAGCGTGATCCTTGGGTATAGTGCGGATGCGCGTCCGCCTCTTGCAAGGGTCACCAAAAGGTACAGCCTTAACTTAACACACGAAAGAAGAGTGGAAGGAAACGTACTAGTACGTCTACTAACAGTGAGCATTTAACAAACAAATAAGTATATAAATACACCTCGCTTCGCGGCCTGTCGCGCGCTCTTCTTCTTAAAGGACCCACTTAAATGCTATATCTCCTCTTGTTTAACTGCGGAATGTACCGGTGAACGTGTCGATTTGCTTCATCCGTTTTGTTCGTTCGTTGTCGATCGTTTACTACTAAATGGATACAAATGAACGACACAGTATGTATAAATGCCCCGCGATTTAACCTACGCCGTCGTGTCTCGCACGAGTTCCGAAACGCACGCACCTCGTCGACTCTCCGAGATTCTCATCCGGACAATTCGATTTCAGATTCGAACGAAACACGCGAGAGTTTCAGCAAATCGCGAAAGAATGTGTGCTATATTAGTGGAGCGTCTCTCTCTCTCTCTCTTTTTCTTTCATTCTTTCTCGTCCATCGTGGTGTCTCTCTTGTACTGTTGGCGAATTCGCCGCGCTTCCTATCGCGTTCACGACGGAGGGAAGATTAGCGCGAGGAGCAAATATCCCTGACGGCGACTCTAAATGGCTAGAGATAGGAGCAATACTGCTGTGGTAATAGCGGCCACGGCGATCTTGCTTGTATTACCAGCATCAGATATTACTGGATAGTCCTCTCTGTGTCCCGAAGACTCTGAATGATAAAAAGGCTCTGTGTAAAAAAAATCTGGCCCGATATCGTATCGTCGGGTTTTCGTCGCGTAAAGACACTCTAAACGCTCTACAAGCCCACCGAGACAGTCACCGGGTAACTTTTAGCTTTATAGTTGGTGTCTTGCGCAGGGTCAAGGGATCTGAGGACTTCTTTCAATCCTGCCGTCCTGATTAACGGCCCGAAAGGCGCTGGGGTTTCCGTTACTTTTCGAAAAATTGCTTTCCGCATTTTCCGCGAGCGCGCGTTAACGACAAGATTCGCCGAAAACGTAGAAGCTGCGTCTGGATGCTAACGATTTCAGCAGCGCTGCCATCCAGTCCACCGGAGCAAAGAAAGTGATATAGTGACTGCTTCTTGACAGGAAAGATGATAAAAAATGACCTTTCAGGCATCAAAATAGTGAGCAAATATGACATTTTTTGTCAAATTTTGAAAGTAACTAAGGCCATTCAAGCAAGCGAATAACATTTATTCTTACCTTCCCAGATTTATCATAACATGTAGTTCTTTTTATAGTACGATTTGAAAATTCATAAGGAAAGAGCATGAATGATACAATATAAATACGCTTTCGCAGCAGTTTGATTAAGATAGATGTAGCAAAAACATGTAGAATGCCCATATTTTACAAATTTGACGACAGTTCAGGAGAAAAGTGACTATAGTGACGCATTTTGGACGATGTGAATTTTTTAATGACTTATCAAGAGAAAGTGACAAAAGGTGATTCAAGCGACTGGATGGCAGCGCTGTAATTTCAGCGACATCGAAAAGCCGTTCAATTTTTGAATAGAATCCGACCCATATTCAAAAATGAAAACGCTGGTTACGAGTACACTTCTCAAGAAACCGATAATCAATAAGAATAGTAACTGATTCTTTATGATTTCGCACGCCACGCTTCTCGCAATTTTGCGAAATCGCCAATATATTCGTTACATGTTCATGAAGCACACCGAACCTATATAATCTTAAAAAAAAATTAAAAAAAAAAGGAAAGAAAGAAAAAAAGAAAAAAAGAAAAAAAAAAGAGAAACATATAGCAAGCAAAGTAACACCACTCAGGCCCTTCCGGTATTAACCAGATCGTTTGACCGTCGACCGAACCAATTGAAATTACAAAGAAAATCAATGAACCAAAGACATGTTTATAACAGATAGGCGAGGAAACGAAGGACCTCAAATAACCCTTTCCCCTCCTCCACGAATGAACAAAAACAGGGACGAACTGACAAACGATTTGAAGACCGCGAAGAGAAAAAAAATATTCGGTGCTGCAGCTTCGTGCACATATATATATATATATATATATATATATATATATATAT